CTCTCCCTGTCCTTTGCAGTAAAATGTTGATGCAGACTAGGCAAAAGTATCAGCTGAGCTATTTTATCTCCAGGGGAGATGGCAGTAATGCCTTTGAGGGACTCAACCATGATCTTCACCACCCCAGTGTAATCTGGATCAATTCCACCAGGATATACCCTAAGGCCTCTCAAGGCAGTGGATGATCTTCCTAAAAGGAGCCCCACTGTGCCTGGCTCCAGGGGGCCCTGACAATCTGATTCTAACAGTCGGATCCCCATCTGAGGAGTTAGTACGAGATGGGAGGTGGTGAGGAGGTCCAGTCCTGCTGAGCCTGTAGTGGCTCTCCTCGGCTCCTTTGATGCTGTAAAGTCGGCCACTCCCCTTGTTCCCAGTGTCTCTCCCGAGTCTCCATTGCCCCATATATTTGTGGGCCCTGAGGGCGGGGCGTTTTTTGGCCGAGTGCTATTAACTTCTGCCTCAAGTGGCCTCCCGTTAATGTCTTTTACTGACCAGCATTCATTGGCCCAATGTTTCCCCTTTTTGCATTTTGGGCATAGGCCAGGCTGCCAGAGACTGAAGCCGCTGCCTCCCGTGTCACCCTCAGTCTTTTTTCTGGGCAGTTCCTTTTTATATGTCCTGCCTTGCCACACCTGAAACATGCTCCTGGGTTCCCCTTGGCACCTCTCGGGTCAGCTGGACTACCGCAGCAGCAAGTCCGGCGTTGGTCAGTGGCAGATCTTGGTCCATGTTTCAATCTCTTTATGTTTGTAGGGGGTAATAAATAGCAGACCTGCATTCCCTGGTGCATTGTTCATACACTAATTGCCTATCTTGACCATCAAGAAAGACAGAACTCGGGAACTCTTCCTGCAGTTGATTTCAGGAGCCTTGTACAATCTTTTCTGGGGGCCCCGAGGAAACCCGACCCTCTGCTTCAAACGCCCTTGGTAGCTCACCCCAGACTGCCACGTGGCGAAAGCAGAAGGGTCCACATACACGGAAGCAGGCCTGAAGCCCAGCCTTAGCCAGATAAGAAATTGTCCAGCACAAAGACCACTCACCCTCGGGATGGTGGGAGGCAGAAGCTGGCGCTATCTTTTGGGCCTACAAAGCGCAGCTCTCCACAGTAAAGTGTTGTGGTTGCTTTGGAAAACAGTTTAGAGCAAGTTCCAAACCAGACAGCACTACACATAGCAAATAGCTGAATTCTCATACACTGTTGGCAGGAATGTAAAATGGTGTGACCACTATAGAAAACAAAAGTCACAAAGCACCTATTTTTTGACCCAAGTACTATACTCTTTAATATTGATCTAAAGGGATACTGAGTTTGCACCAACCTCAAAGTAAGTGTTACAGAGTGAGATCCCATGATGCCTAGTTTTATGGGGCTGATGAGATGACTGAGTTTGTAAAGACTTTTGCTAACAAGCCTGATGACTTTAGTTCAACCACTAATGAACACACATAGTAAAATGAGAGAACAGACTCTGAAAAGTTGTCTGGCCTCTGACCTCTACATGTGTGTGACCTCTACACACACACACACACACACACACACACACACACACACACACACACACAAAAAAAAATAAAAAAAAAAAAAAAAAAAAAAAAAAAAAAAGAAAAGAACAAGTTATATCCAGATCTAAAACTATTATCTGAAAAAAGGGGAATTATGTTTATTTTCATTGATTATGTATGTTATTTACCCCTCAAAAACTTTAAATTTTTTATCACTTTTTTATGTAAAGCAACTCTGTCCATTTCAAAGTTTAAAATTTACAATTTTTGCAATCTGGGAAGACTGTTTTCAGGATACTGAATTACAAAAGTAATTCCCAGACAAGTTTGTGAATATTAGAATTCTCTTAATCATTGATAACTGTTTACAGAACATATTGATTCTAGCTACTGTTTTCTCTTTGCAAATGATGTAAAGAAAATACCTGACACAGGTCATTTGGAGACCTTTAGTTTGTTAAAATCTCAGATTTTAGGCACTACCTCTAAAGGGAACATTGCTGATTGTGACTTGAACAGAGGTCATCTACCAGTTGAGGCAATTACTAGTACATTTGTCCCACAGATTCCATGGGAGACACATTCGTGATGAACATCAAAATTTGTAAATGTTCCGATCCTTATAAAGTGCATAGTATGTGCATATAACCTAGCCAACTGTGTACTTCCATGCACTTTGAATGATGTTAAAAGTATTTATAGACACAGTACAATGTAAATACTTATATAGATAGCTGTCATTCTTCATCGTTTAGGAAATAATGAGTGACAAAGGAAAACATCTGTACATGTTCAGTACAAATGCAATTTTTTAATATTTTAAATCTATATGTGGTTAAAAATACATTTGTAGAACACACAGATATGGAGACCTGACCATACTTCTCCATCATAATGTTATTAAAAGAATTACACAGGTGCTCACACAAAGCAGTACAGTGGTGCCTGGCACAAACACACAGCAACTGTTAACACTTGGGTCTCATTACAATAAGATAATCCTAGTTTAAGAAATGCTACATAATAGTAACGTGACAAGTCCTCAAAAGGCTACATTTAGAGTTTCCATACAACCTAGTACTCCTATACCCGTATGAAGACCTGTCTTTCACATCCATGGCCATATTGTTTGTAGTAATAAAGCTTGGAAACTACCTAAATGTCCACCAAGGATGAACAGGACAATATAGATGATGTGTTTACATGGTAGATATTTGGCAGTAAAAAAGAATAAAGTGCTGGTCCATGCTACACCCAAGATAATCCTTGAGAAGAACCTTTTGATCCGTCTTTGTGAAATGTCCAGAAGATGAGAGTTCATGGAAACAGAACATAGATTATTGGTTACACAGACTAGGGTAAGAAAGAAAAGGGGACTGGCTTCTAGTGGGGTCAGATTTGTCTGGAGAGTAATGAAAATACCATCGAATTAAATTAATTAGCTAATGGGATGGTTAGGCCACACTTGTTGTAAAATTAAAACCCGCTGACCTGAGCAGCTGAAATGTGTTTTATGGCATGTGGTTTCTATCACAATAAAGCCACTTAAAAAGACATGGGCTTGAGCAAACTGGTGCAAAATGCCTTGAGCTTTGGTTCACACCTGGTGTGGTTTGGCCGCCCTATCCCTGTTGTAATAATTGGGGGTTTACTGGTGCACTTTACGTTCCTGCTGCTCTTGGTTTGTGAAATCACCGCCAGAGGAGTAGGGAGGTGTTGTAATTTAAGAAAAGCAGCACCTCGAGAGAAAGATGCCATGAGACAGGGTTCAAGCAGAGGGGCTTTTTACTAGGAAAAGAGATCATAAAAAGGGGATGAGGAGACTGGCCTCCAGGGACAGGAGCATCAGG